TTTTTTTTTTTTTTTTTTTTTTTTTTTTTTTTTTTTTTTTTTTTTGCCTCCAATCAGTATTTCGTCATTGTTCTGTTTTATTTCTCATCTGCACAGTTGGCTCAGGTTGACGTGAACGGAACAGAAAATCATCAACATCTAACAAATCTGAACACTGTAGGCACAAACCCATAAATTTATTTAAGAAAAATAATTTACTCCTACTACTGCAGCTAATCTGAAAACTCAAATCCCTCCAATTACAATAAATAAACAGATTAAAGTTTTAATTCAAGCCTTCTGTTTTATTGTTATTAAAATATGTATTTAACCCAGCAGCAGCTCCTCTGATCTTTAAGTGCCAAAGAGTCTTCCAGGAGTTAAAAAATACTAGGATTTCTTTAAAATAAAAACAGGACTTTATTCTGCTGTCCCCGTCACATGAAATGTACAGTGTCAAATATTTGTATAGATGAGTTTGTAAATATGTTTGCATCAGTAGCTCCCTGCCTGTCATGATTTGCATAATCTGTTTTCCTGAGGCTCTAACAGGGAGATCCTGTCGCCTGCTCAGTGTTGGGAAGTAACTGGATTTAATGGAGGAAGCTGAGAATAAGTCGCTCCTTTGTGTTTTTCCCACCAGGTTCAGATTTTTGTCTTCTTTGCTGGCCTGAGATCAGCTTCTGCATCAGTTGGAGGTGAAAGGTCACAACTTTCAGGCCAGTTTTTAAAGCAAAATTTGTTTTATCTAAATTTTAACATGAAGACAATTAAGGTTGTATATATTCCTGAAGGAATCCTTTTATTTAAAGCTTGGTTTTGAATTAATTTTGAACCGAGAAGACTTTAACGTGTTCTGTGTATCTGTGCAAACTGAACATTTTTGCAGATGTTTTGGGTTTGTTGTAAAAGGAGGAATGATAAGATTCACTGACAGCTGCTGAAAACTCGTACGCTTTCAACATTTTAGAAGACTTTTAAAGAGACGTTAACGAGTTAAAACGAGTGAGAAAGCAGCTGAGCTGTTAATAACTGTACACAGATCAATGCTTGTGCTTCACTACGAGGCTTTGTCATTTCTAGTGATAAAATTGCGAAGAACAAAAAAAAACTACTGATTTTGTAATTACTGTAAAATAATGATGGTTGCATTAACATGTTTTAAATAAATTGTATATTTTGAGAATTTTACATGGTGTCTGCATTGAGGAGATTTATGTTTTAATCTGACTTGACTTTATTATTATTATTTCTTCTTTTATTTGGTTTGTTCTACCTGTGAGGTCAGCAGGGGTCAGTGTCTCTGCAGGATGCACATACTGCAGCTGGTTGCTCAGAAACATAACTGGGCTGAACCTCTAATGCTCCACAGGTCCTTTGAGTGTTGTTGCTGTAATATATAACATTTCTGTTGTTGCTTCACATATAATCCAGAGTTAGGTCAAACAAAATGCTCAGTTTGTGCACCAAAGCATGCAGACCAAGGCGGAGGACAGTGGTGAGAACACACGATGAGAACAGCAGTTTAACCTCCTCAGTGCTGCCTGTCTTCGCTATTGTGCCTCAGCTATTCTGTGCAGGCCAGCTGGCTCCAGTCCCAGTCCTTCAGGCCTCTTCACTGAAGAACAACGCAGATCAAGTCCAGAATTAGCATACGAACAACCGACCAATCAGGTGTCGGTATAAAAACGAAAAAGAAGGGCACTTAAAGAGAAGAGTCGAGTTTGTGTTGTATGAAATAGGAAAAATGAACCAACGGCAAAAGTTGATAATCTGGTCATGCAGGCAAAAATGGATGTTTGATATAATAAAAATGGAAGGCAGAGACCAGTAGGAGGCCTCAGACTGTCCTGCCAGGTTGTCAAGAGAGCTGCACATATAATGGATGAATAGATACAAAAGTACTGCTGAGATGTTCCCAAGAATAATAAAAAAACTGCTGCATCATTGGATTTTAATGCATTTTAATAGTTATAATTGCACATAAAAGTTGTGCGCTGGTCGGTTTTGTCACCGTTTTTAATGAGGAAAACGAGCAGCTTGAAAGAGTTATGAGGTTTGGCAGATGAACAAAAATAAAAATAAACCACATCTCGTCTTTCAGCAGGAAATAAAGAGGAAGTCGATCATGAAGGTAAAACTGGAGCAGCTGAACAAAGTCAGACTAAACAGTCCGATAAAAATAAAACGTGTTTTTGAGTTTCGAGTTAGCAGCTAAAAACACAGCACTCTGTTCCCACACCAATGAATTAAACATTACTTTAAAAAAGTGTATTAATTTAAAACTGCTAAATTGCTATAAAAGCAAAACAAACAAAAAATAAGGTTTCATGCCTAAAACATCTATTTTTAATCCTAAAAAAATGACATGCATTCAGAATCATTTGGTTTTGGCAGCTTTAGTGGCGCCGCATGTAATCGGGTCATGGTAACCTGCGTTCTGAGGAAACATTTCAGCTCTAAATCACTTAGAAGTTTTCTTGGTTTTGAGCGAATTTGTCATCATTTCTGCACAGGAGGCAGCAGATGTTTGTATCACTTTCCACAGCGTTTCACTTTTACCTATAGACGCCACATTATGTGAAATACAGGAGCTGTTTAAAACCCTCCCACACGTCAAATTGGTGGTTTTGCTGACAAAACGTCAGCTGCTCCACAAACCTGAGCTGGTTCACTCCACTTCCTGCCAACCCTCCCTCTTCATCTCACTAATCTTTCACCGACTTTTACACAGGAAACATGCAGACTCATTGTTGCAAACATGAAATGCTTTTAAATAATACAAAAGTGGCAGAAAAAATGTTTATCATGTGTTTGCCACCACTTCCTCAAGTGGCAGCTTTAGCTGACATTTATATTTGTTGGTAAAAAAATGGTGGGTGGGTGGATTGCCAAACAAACAACAACTATATCTGCTTTTCTTCACCTCAGACTGTTGAGGCCGTTTTTTTAATGAGCATGTTTCTGTTTTACCTCCAAGGTTTTGGGCCGACAGGCTTATCGCTCCCGGCCATGACATCCAAACGCTCAGATAACTGCAACAATGGCAGCTCGAGAAGCCTTGTGGGGATGGGCGATCAGACAACGCTTGCGGTGGGAAAAACTTGCATATAGTTCATTGTAACCACATTTTTGCAATATTTTATTTTCAGTCAGCTACATGGAAAAACTCAGACCAAAGCATTGCATCTCCACTTTAGATAGACCCCAACTGAAGGATTTACATGCAAAAAGAAAGGATTCACACATCAAGGTCAGATCGACTACAAACTCTTGTTATTGTTATCCTAAAGGAGACGTATCCTGCTTTTCTTTTTCACATTTAAAATCACCAAGTTGGGGTCTATATAAAGTGGAACTGCAATGCTTTGGTCTAAATTCCTCCTTATTGTAACTCCACAAGCCTCTATCTTTCCCCAGTTTTCCTGAGGTGTGGCTCAGATCAACTCGCTTTGAGGCTGTCTCTTTAAAAGGGATCCACGACTAGTTGTAACATTAAACTTTCTTTGATAAACATTTATTTTAACTATAAAATAAAAACAGTTAAAATACTGTAGGCTGTTTAGTTT